GGAAATCTGTTAAGAACCATGAACTTTGAATGACCCCATTAGGCCAAAAACTTTCTGGATTTAACTCAAGAATTTTTCGTGACCTGAAAAATGGACCCTCTTTTAATCCATCATGTAGCAGTTTTATGGATTCATTCCAACCTGTCCAGAGTGCTAGCTCTCAGTCCTTGATGAACACAGCCACAATGAAACACTCTTTCTACTTTTGAACATTCTAAGACGTGAAATTTCCCCATTAATGGACAACTTAGAGAACTTTTCAGTGGTACCTATAATAAACTAAGCCTTTTTTCTTAAGCCCCGGTCATTTTCGTTTTACATTAGAAACAAAACAATACTATATATGAAAACCAGAATTCTGATCATAGCAAATTCACTGACTTAAATGATTATATTATGGAAAGAAAAAAAATGAAAAAGTTCAGAAAACAAAGCCTTCAACCCAAGTTAGGAAAAAATAACAAAAAGAAACACAAAGGCGGGATCCCTGGGTGGCAAAGTCAGTTAAGCATCAGACTCTTGGTTTTGGCTCAGGTCTGATATCAGGGTTGTGGGATAGGCTGGCCTGTGTGGAGCTAAGGGTGGAGTCTGCTTGAGTTTCTCTCTCCCTCTTCCTCTGCTCCTCCTCTGCTGCACTCTCCCTCTCTCTCACTGAAATAAATCTTTAAAAAAAATACCTCTGTGTGTACACACACACACACACACACACACACACACACACACACAGGCATATACACACCCACATTTCCCCTGTATCATTTGTTGGGTAGGTATGTCAGCATGCGTTTCCCAAGAGTAAGGACATTCTCTTCCATGACCACAGTAGTTACCAGGTTCAGTAATTCAACATGGATGCGATACTTTTACATAACCTGCCATCCATATTCTAATCTGACAATTAACCCGTTAATGTGTTTTGTACATTTCCCCCACTCTAGTACAGAAGCCAGTCTAGGACTTTACCTTTAGTTGTCATGTCCCTCCTTTCCTTAAATCTGGAATATTTCTCAGTTTTGTTTTTGTCTTTTATGACAATTGCATCTTGAAGAAGAGGGACCTTCTTTCTGGTAGGTGAATGTTTCTTGCTGGGGGAGTTCCTACATATTAGATTCAGGTTGAGCACTGACATGCATGGATTGTGTCCTTCACAGGGTATCACATTAGGTGGTGCCTGATTCTGCCTTGTACAGTTACACTTCTTTCTCTCCTACCTAAGACCATCTCTGGGGAGACACTTTAAGACCATATATCCATTAATGGTTCTTGCCGAAACCAGTCTTTACTGTGAGGGTTACAAAGTGATGAATTTCCAATGCCTGCCCTCCTTCCATGTTGTCCAGTCAGCACTAGGCATTGGAATAGAATGCAATTTTTTTTTTAAGATTTTATTTATTTGAGAGAGAGAGTGTGTGAGCACAAGCAGGGGGAGAGGCAGAGGGAGAGGGAGAGGGAGAAGCAAATTCTCTGCTGAGCGGGGAACTAAGCAGGGAGCTGGATTCCAAGACCTCAGGATCATGACCTGAGCCGAAGGCAGACACTTAACTGACTGAGCCTTGCAGGCTCTCCTAGAATGCTATATTAAGCGGTATTTCCACATCGCAGTGAGAGATGGATGTGCACAGCCCTGATCCCAGTCACTGGGGCTCTTCAGAGGTACAGATTGCTGTGATGGCTTGGGGAGTGGATCAAGGGTGGGGTGAAGGTGGGGGTGGCAGGAGGCAAGGCTGGTGAGGGAGGGTGGAGCTGCATAGGTTTCCTCCCCTGCCTGGCTGTGGTGTCCAGACTCAATCCTGAACATTGGTGAGCCTATGAAAGTCATAACAATATAAAACCTAATGGCAGAGAAAAGAACTTTATCAATAAATAATGCAACCATGTACCCATATATTTAATATTGTCAGAAAAACCAATTGTCCTTTAATAAGTTAATTTTTAAATCATATTCATAGTTAAACAAGACAGCATCATCAGATTTTTTTTTTTTTTTTAATGACAGTAACACAGCAGCAGTAAAGAGCAGGTTCTGAAGAATGAAGAGATATGGGGCCATAAGAAGTAAGATGAAGAGAGTAAAGGATGGAGGGGTAGCTCTGCTAAAAACAAATGAGATTTATCATCAATGGGCAACTGGGAGTCATCAGAAATCCTATCTAATGTAGACCAGAGCTTCTCAAAGATGAATATGCTGGGGATTCTGATAAGATGCAGATCGTGACCCAGGGACCTGAGCTCCCCAGCGAAGGAGATGCTCCTGGTTGGGGCCGACACTCAGAGCTGTAAGTCCTCCGGAAGCATGTCATAAATGACAGGGAGGGTGTGGATAAGGCAAGCTACCGAAGGAGCAGTGGAATGACGAGATAGCTCAGTCTCCATGAGCGTGAACAGTCACTCCCACCACCACAACCACCAAACCCTTTGGAGTTTTTGTCCCCAGTAGTTCCTTGAGGGCTCGATGACCCAGAGGTGGCTCAAGCTTGGGTATGGGCTACTTTTTTAAAGCTATTCTCAGGAGCCAGATACTGTGCTCTACCTACATCATTTCATCGAAGCCTCAGTACAGCCAAACAGATTACTCCCTTTTTAAAGATGGGACATGGAAACTCAGAGCTGGTGGTAGCAGGTAAGATGCGGAAGCCAAATCTGAACCTGTCTGGCTCCAAAATGCTGTTCTGACCACACATGAATGAAGTGCCCACGATGCACCATTCACAGAGTTCATGAATCCATGTGGCACTCCTCGCCCTTCGGCAGCACAGACTGAGGGGAAGAAGGATGTGTCTGCAAGGAGCTCCCATCCAGCCATGGGAGTAAAGAAAAGGACCACCCAGGTATTAGGCTTCTGCTCTGCAGACTTCTTTGTGTAGAGCTGTAATAAATGCCCTTTTACAAAGTAGAATCTTGAGGGGGCGCCTGGGGGCTCAGTCTGTTAAGCGTCTGCCTTCGGCTCAAGGTCATGGTCTCAGGATTCTGTGATTGAGCCCCGCATTGGGCTCCCTGCTCAGTGGGAGTCTGCTTCTTTTTCTCCCTCTCCCTCAGTGCTCTCTCTCTTAAATCAATCAATCAATCAATCTTAAAAACAAAACAAAGTAGAATCTTGAGAATGAAATATGCTGGAGTAACATTATATTTAAAAATAATAAACAATCGAACCTACCTTAATTCTCTCCCTCTCAACATTTTACTATGAAGATTTCCTAATAAAAGTTGGGACAATTGTGCAGTGAATATCCAGATGCCCACTGCAGTTAACATTTTACTATATGTTTTTGTCACACACTTCTCTGTCATCTATCAGTCCCTCTAAATTTTTAATGCATTACAAATTTCCAGATATCAGTCACTGCACCTCTAAACACGTCCGCATGCATGTCATTAACTAGAGTTCAATATTTGTTTACAGTCCTTTTCTTTAAGTAAAATTGACGTACAAATGCAATGCACAAATCTTAGGTGTACCATTGAATTTTTTTCTCAAGATTTTATTTTATTTATTTGACAGACAGACAGAACGCGAGAGAGGGAACACAAGCAGGGGCAGAGGGAGAGGGGGAAGCAGGCTTCCCGCTGAGCAGGGAGCCCAATGTGGGGCTCAATCCCAGGACCCTGGGGTCATGACCTGAGCCGAAGGCAGACGCCTAACGACTGAGCCACCTAGGCGCCCCAAGTCATGCTATTTTTTTTAAAGGTTTTACTTATTTATTTGACAGTGAGAGAGGGAGAACAAGCAGGGGGAGCAGGAGATTTATTTAAGTTAAACATATTAAATTAGATTTTCTTGAATTTAGAGAAAAAAGGAGAAATTAAACAAGTCTAAATGAACTTTGAACACCAGCTAAACATTTATAATATGACCCTCCTCCTTTAAGTTATCCTTTTTTTTTTTAAGATTTTATTTATTTCTTTGGGGGAGAGAGAGTGAGAGCACAAGGGGGGGGGGAGGAAGAAGCAAACTCCCTGCTGAGGAGGGAGCCTGACTCAGGGTGAGGAGGAAGCCCAAAGTGGGGCTCAATCCCAGGACCCTAAGATCATGACCTGAGCCGAAGGCAGACGCTTAACCAACTGAGCCACCCAGTCGCCCCTAAATTATTCTTCTAAAGAAAAGGAAACGATCATGAAAAACATAAAGCAACTGAGTATTTTTTTAAAGTACCTATTTCTATTTTAGGCAAGATGTATTGATGTGCCATGAGAAATGTGGAAATCAGCATAGAAATAAACTCCCTCAGCGCTCAGTTTCTGTGAACTATTTTTATTCTGTAAAAATTCACATAGTTTACATCCTATCAATTACCCTGTAATTCTCACGATGGCTTCATTTTGGATCTGTATTAAACTGGATTCTGTGCTCGGTAATAGTCCATTCACTGCAGCTCCTCTAAATGTGAGTTCTTCATTAATGTCACACTTTTGTTGGCAGGATTTCAGCGACTCATTTTTATGACAGTCTAAATTTTTAAAAAGGCAGAAGAGATGCTTTCCAAGTTCAATTTCCCTCTTTGGGAGGCACAGGTAGGGGAATCCAACTTCTACCCCTTTAAGAGATTTAACCAACAAGGTGCCCGGTGGTGAGACAGATGACCTCTTTGGGCCTCAGTTTCCCCATCTGTAATGTGTGGGTTTGAACTAATCGCCTCTATGGTCCTTTCCAGAAATGAAAGCGGTGGTTCACTGACCTTCCACCCAAGCTGCTGGTCCACGGAAAGGCCGGCCCTGTTCTCCCGGCGGCAGCGCTGAACAGCAGGGGGCGCCCTAAACTCAGTGATCCATTCCCTTGCCTGCAGGCACTCCTGGGGATCCAGGGGGACAATGGGAGCCGGCCACCTTCTCAAAATTCAGTGTTCAGTTGTCCAGAAGTCAGCCTCCTCTCTGAACAACACGACTAGCCCAGGCCTCAGAGGAATCCATTGATTTTTGTATCTTTCCAAATATTTGTGAGACTGAAACATTTTATTGTATTTTAAGTCTGGATATTATTGAAGAAGATGGAAATAAGGCCTCAGATTCTTGTAGTTCTATGGCAATTTACTGCTCTAAAATTAAACAGAAATACGTAATATAGCTAGTGTTTTTGGGGGGGCTGGGATGAGGGTGCGGCGTTCACATAATACCCCAAGGTTCTCAGAACATGAATTCATTCTTTCATTCATATTTATTGATGGCCTACTTCATGCCCACCACTGTTTGTTTACAGCATTAACAAAAAGTCCTTGCCCCCAGTAAAGCCTATACTGTGTGAACATTTTAAGACGGTGGGCTGAAATAGGGTCTCAGGTGTCGGAATCCATAGGCAGAGTCATATTTGAGCTAACCACGGGTGTGGCCCTTACAAACACCAGATAACATTCAAAGGAAATTGCTCATGGGGTAGAAAGTCTGCTATCTATTCAGGAATTTTCTCACCAGCAAAATGCGGTAACTGAGAAACTGTTGAATGAGTTCAATGTATAGAGAAAACATTCTGGAAATAAAGACAAGAAAGCCAGCTCAGTTTGAATTTCTCAGTGTCGGGGGAGTACAAGTGGGTGGAAGGATATTAGTGTTCAAACTAATCATGGTAGCTAAAGCACCTATTGTGGTCAACAGCAAGGGGTTCTGGAATCAAATCACCAACTAGCTGTTTTGGGGGAAATTTCTTATTCTGCCTTCAGTGGGTCTCGAGGATTCCATGGGTCCATACACCTGAGCCATTAGAACAGTGGCCTGGCACATAGTCATTGCTCTGTAAATGTTCGCCACAGTCATCAATGTGATTATCATTATAGTTTTAAATTAGCCTGATTTCTTTTCATCCTGACTGAAGTCTTTCAAAACTTAGTTTCAATTTGTTTAGTCAGCAAAAAATGTAAAAGTCAAATCAAATCAAATTGAGAACCCACTATGTGCCTGACACTGTTCTAGGCACTAAGGATTTGGTGATAAACAAGACAGCGTGTACCTTCTCATGAGCTTACAATTTCCAGGGAATAAATTAAAAAAAAAACAAAAAACAAAAAACAAGTGAAGGTGTAATGGATGGAAGTTGTGTTTCTTTCTTTTGAATTCATTTTAACAACTTTAAAATATTATTTGTAGTATTCTTGATGATATGCTGCTATAGATGGAATGTTTGTATCCCCACCCCCCAAAATTTGTATGTTGAAGCCTAACCTCCAATGTGATACTGTTTGGAGGTGGGGCCTTTGGGCGGTGATGAGGCAGAGCCCTCATAAAAAGGATTAGTGCCCTTACAAAAGAGATCCTGGAGAGCTCCCTCATCCTTTTCACCATGTAAGGACACATGTGAGAGCCCCAGGAAGTGGGCTCTCACCAGACATGGAAACCGCTGATGACTTGATCTTGGACTTCCAGCACCCAGAACTGTGAGAAATCCATGTTCATTATTTAAGCCACCCAGCCTATGGTAGGAGCAGCCAGAACGGATTAAGACATGGGTTCGTGTAAGTAATCATCTTCCACTTAAGGAATTGATACATGAATCTTAGCAAAGAACTTAAGTCAAGATCGCTCTGGCTTCCTTCTCCAGTTCCACAACATGGAAGCAGGAGGTGAAGATGCTACACCTTCTCTTTTGGTCAAAGAATATTGCATTGGACTGTAACAAGATTTTAGACCTGATTATGTCTTGAATTGTGTTTGTCCTGGCTAACGACTGAATTTCAGGCTGATACCCACAGTATGATTCCAGCAACTAGAGAATGAGTGGGTCATGTTTCCTCAGCCTTCAAATAATCTGTATATGTTACTGCTCTTACATTTCTCACCAGTGAGCTATCTTCAATAGGAGAGTTTCTAGAAAAAGATGCCCCTTTCCTTAAGGCATTTTACTCCCATCTTCTTTAAATTTTCCATGCTAGGTATCCATTTCTACAAGGTTTAAGATGTGAATTGCCCTCCCTAGTTTTGTTCAGTGCACACCCTGTGCGGCGATCTCAAACAGCTCTCCTGGTAGGTCTCATCAAGTCCTGTGAAGCGAGAAACAGGAGAGCAACTTATTTCATAACCTTATTTCGTAACTGCCTTCTTTCTACCCCTTCCTCTAGTCACCAGCTCTTCTCACCTGCAGGCACACAAATTTTTATGCCAGTGGATAATAAGTTTATTCCAGATCCTAGCAATTAAGTACATTCTTGGGGGAAGACAGCTCATATCTAGATGACGACCACAAACAAGCAAGCAAATAAAACTGCATGCACGCACCCTCAACAAAACAAAACTAAACAAAATTTTAAAACCCAGGAGACATTCCCCATCTGGGCTGGCGTTGGTCCATTGTTTTCCGCTGCCAGATTAGCTTTCATGCTCTCATCCCACCTTCTGAATGTGTACTGCCCCATCGTTTCGGAATTACGAGAGCCCTGCCATCTCTTCAATCAGAACCAAACTCTGCCTGTAGCATGTAAGATCCATCTGTTCTGGAACGTTCTGGAACTCCAGACCTAGTCTCCGGTGCCAGGAGCCTGTCTCTGCGTGACCGTCAGGCACCTCGAGCTCAGCATGTCTCAGACTCACCCCGGTCCCCTCCTTCCTGGTCCTCCGCCTCCTCCTTCGTCCCTAGTCTCCACCGATTGCATTGTTCTTCCTTCAGCTTCGTGGGCGATTAACCACCTTCTTAGAGTCTTTGTCCACAACTCCCTTTCCCTTCACCGCAACATCAAATCAGTTACCAAGTCCTCTTTGGCCTAGATTCTTAAAGCTGTCGGGTTCTCTCAGTGGCATTGCCTCCAGGGAGGAATGCAACGGCTTCTGACCCAGTGCTCTGGCATTCGGAAGGCCCTCACCTCCCTTCAGTCCTCTGCTCTCCTGTTACCCAAACAGAGCGCTGCCCATTCACCTGAACTACTGATAAACCTCCAGACGCTCCTTACTGCCTTCAGGATAAAAGCTCAATTCTGGTCCAGCCTACTCCACTCACTCCTAGTTTTAGCCACTATTCACTGTCCTCTTTTTTTAAAGATTTTATTTATTAGACGGAGAGAGAGAGCATGCATGCACAAGCAGGGGGTGTGGCAGGGGCACAGGAAGAAGGCTTCTTCCTCAGAGACAGAGGGAGAAGCAGGCTCCCTGCAGAGCGGGAAGCCTGATGTGGGACTCGATCCCAGGACCCTGGGATCATGATCTGAGCTGAAGACAGTGGCTTAACCTGAGCCACCCGGGCACCCAATTCACGGTCCTCTTTTCTGCACCCCCCTTCCTCATCTCCCGCTGCTCTCTGCATTTCAAGCTACTTAGAATTTCCTTAAAACGTTGTGCTTCAAGCCGCTCACCTTTCAATGCCCCGTGGATTGAATATCACCTTCTTCCCCCCAACCCCGGCAAACTCTTAGTCATCCTTCAAGGTCCCTCTCATGTGTCACCTCTTCTCTGAAACTTCCCCACGCACCCCCTGCTTCGTGTGGTTTTTCTGGCCATGTTACAAGCCTCTGCCCTGATGTTTCTTTTCTTTCTTTTGTTTTTTAAGATTTGACAGAGAGAGAGAAAGAGAGAGAGAGCACACAAGCAGGGGAAGTGGCAGAGGGAGAGGCACCTGAGCAGGGAGCCCGATGAGGGGCTCGATCCCAGGACCCCAGGATCATGACCTGAGCCGTAGGCCGATGCTTAACGGACTGAGCCACCCAGGTGCCCCTGTCTTGATGTTCCTTATCATGGTGTGGTGCAGCATGTTTCTCCTGGCTTTTTTTCCCAACAGGAACGAGCTCCCCCAGGAGAGGTGCCAGGCCTCATTTTATCACCTAATGCCCTCAGAGCTGACACCACAAAGTGCTCAGAACTTGGTTGGAACCTTGACATGGGAAGATAAGAACAGTGAGATAGGCAGGTGACTCCGGGGCCTGTTGAGCAACTTTTGATGAGCTTCAGAGATAGAAGGGAGGAGACCGCTGTTGCCAGGCAGGTCCCAAGCTGTGGGACTCAAGAGTGTTAACAATCGGAACTTGCCCCCAGAATGTTTTCCTTTTTCACGCACTTGACATTCTGGGGTTCTGTTGGATTAGGGCTTTACAAAATGAAATAAAAGGATCTGTGCTGTTACTATAAAGTGATCATCTTTAGGAAGATAGACACCAAGGAAAAAAAACCTTAATTCAGGGAACTTGGAAGTTCAGAATTCTAGAGCTGATTTGTGGACTCCGGCAAGGGGACAGATATTAAATGGTTATTTTTAGGTCTTCTTCTGGTTCATTATTCAAAAATGTTACAAAAGCTAAATCAAGGGGCATGTGGGTGGCTCAGTCAGCGGGGTGCGTGATCCTCGGTTTCAGCTCAGGTTGTGATCTCAGGGTCCTGAGATCTAGCCCTGCATCTGGTTCCACGCTCAGTGGGGAGTCTGCTTTTCTCCCCCTCTCTCCCCTTTGTCACTCCCACTGGTTGTGTGTGTTCTTGCTCTCTCTCTAAAATAAATAAATAAATAAATAAATAAATAAATAAATAAATAAATAAATAAATAAAATCTTTAAAAAAAAAGCTAAATCAGTCTTGCTTATATGATATATTTTGAATTCCTCTGAGTTCAAGATTCTACTGAAAACAAAATATGAATGGGTCTCATTATCTTGCCTGCTTAAATCTCTTTGATGAAATGTCACATTTTCTTGTTGCCTAGGAACAAGTTTTCTCAGAAATTTTTTTTAAAGATTTTATTTATTTATTTGACAGAGGGAGAGACAGCGAGAGAGGGAACACAAGCAGGAGGAGTGGCAGAGGGAGAAGCAGGCTTCCCACGGAGCAGGGAGCCTGATGCGGGGCTCGATCCCAGGACCCTGGGATCATGACCTGAGCCGAAGGCAGTCGCTTAACCAACTGAGCCACCCAGGCGCCCCTCAGAAATTTTTCTTTAAGACACAAAAATGTCATCTTAGATTATGATTATTTAAGTGAATTAATTTTTTAAAAGAACTATGCATCTCCTATAAATATATCTATTTCTATTATATTTATATTATTTTGATATATTAGTTATATATTTGTATTAGTTTGACAAATGCCCTAAGGTATAGACAACTAGGAGCTATGTACTGAGTACTTACTATGTCAGCTGGGTTGCTGGGATTCAAAAGGGAGGACCCTCACTCTCGTGGGCAGGTGATGAAGTAAAGAAATATTCACGTCAATGTAGTAAGTGTAGAAAGGTCTTTAACATTCTGTTGGCACACAAAGTTCAATCAGATTATTATTTGGTGAGGCTTTTTTTTTTCAGATTTTATTTATTTATTTGAGAGAGAATGAGAGACAGAGAGCATGAGAGGAAGAGGGTCAGAGGGAGAAGCAGACCCCCCGCTGAGCAGGGAGCCCGATGTGGGACTCGATCCCGGAACTCCAGGATCATGACCCGAGGCGAAGGCAGTCGCTTAACCAACTGAGCCACCCAGGCGCCCTGGTGAGGCTTGGATACACATCACAAAGGGCGACACAAGCTGGCTCCAAGTGTGGCCAAAAAAGCAGGCAGTCTCATCAAGCAAATTCATGCATAAGCAGGTGGGAACTCAAGAAAGGGGCTCCGAAAGTCTTCCAATTTGGCCCTATTCTTTCACGGTGAAGTTTCCAGACATAGCAGCTATGGTGTGTGCAAGGTCGCCCAGGTCTAGTGCCTTATCCCACCTGACAAGGTGCTAGGAAAGTTTTGTGTTACCTGGCCAGGTGGAAACCAAACTCTACACTCAACGCATTAGAGAGATGCTTTCGATTTCTATTTTATTTTTATACTATGTTCTACTAGAGTTGTGGTTAACTTTTCTGATTTAGGAAATAAGCTTCGGGTTAGCAATAGGCTAGATACTTCCAGCTCGAGGGTAGACATTTATGTCAACCATAGGGGTCATGAATACATCACATGTGCTGAGGGAATATGTGTTAATCGAGAAGACCCTAGGATGCTTCAGATTCTTGTTTGTCACTGAAGGATATGCCAAATAGGAAGAAGATTGCAGTGAATTGGAAATGAAAATTGGGTGTCTTCGAAAGGCAAATTATTTCTTTCCTTTTCTTGGATTCTCTTTCATGTGTGAGTATTGTAATGCCTCTAGTAACCAAGGGATCCAGAAGCAATCTATCTCTCTGTTACCTGCGCTATTTTGTTAAAAGCAATGTTTTTTGATTTTATCTCTTTCTTTTTTATTCCTTTTTCTTTTCTTTCTTTTTTTCCCTCTTATTTTCATGGTGTGATACTTAGAAGCCCCTAGTGCCTTTGGCAGGCATGTTAGCCAGAGATACCCTACAGTTTCTTTTAGTGATATGTTAGAATCCTTCTCGTTCCCCCTTGGAGAGCATTTCAACTGACTAAGTTTTGATAGTGCTGTTTTCACGTTTGGATGGCAACATGCAGATGCATTTTCCCAAACGTCTCACATGCCTTGCAGCCAGGGGCCACAAGCTCTAACAGGTCTAGAAGGAAAGTGAAAAGTACGAGACTGTTTCCAGTCTCTTTTTTATGGTCAGTTTTCCAGGTGATCTTGAGATGGTCCCAACTGCGTAAAGCATAATGGGGATGATACTACTTATGGATAGGTTTGTCACACGGATAAATAAGGTTATGTCTACAAAAGATTCTCAGCTCCTTAGAGGATGATGATATTATGGAGCGATAATGATTACAGCAGTTAAGAGTCTAATTGTTTTTAGTGAGATCTGCCCTAGTGTACCTTGTCCCTGTCTGGTTTCATTATAACAGCAGCTTTCTCAAGGAAGGGGGTGCTTCATGAGAACATGAACAGATAAGAGAATTAAGAATACCAGTCCATGTGTAGGATGATGTGTTATAATCATGCGTTTTCTTCACAACTATTTTTAACAACTGGTCTCCTAGAGGCACTGGTATGGCCCAGGGTGATCACTTCTGCATTCATCAAGGTACTTCAGGAGGTCCTCATGACCTTGTCTACACCACTTTGTCTAGTTGGCACATATTCCTAGGGTCTTTGCACTTGATCTTAGCCAAAAGGGCGAGAAGCGATTCCTAGTGTCTTTGGAAGTGGAGGACAGGACAAGTAAATGCGGGCTGAGGAAGCCACCTTGTGCATTTCCACCCTAGACTTTGACTTCAATCCACAGCTTGAACAATTTTGAGGCTTCCAGGTGGTTGAATGGGTTTCAGATTGCACATCGGACTTCTGGAAGAAGGTACTCAAATGAAAGCTTCCTGCACATGGGAGGCCCTTTCATGGATTGACGGATAGCCCTTCTCTGGAAGGCCACAAGATCTTACAGGTAGCTCAGGGGGTCTGTGGGGGTAGTCAAGGCCAATGACACGGAGGACACTGTGTTCAATCCTTTTCCGACACTGTGGGACCCTTATGTCAGAGGTCCTCAATGCTATGAGACCTAACAACCTTCCTATTACAAAGGGGTAACCCCTTTACTGTCTGGAAATGACATTCACAGATAATAATGTATACAATTAAATACATGTATACATATATACACATGTACACATCACATATACATCATATATATCATGTGCATATATATATTCCAAACTATATATATGTAAATATATGTATATATTCCAAACTAAAATAGAAGTAGAAAAAAAGTAGTTTATAGAGAAATACCACATAATATGTATTTCCATATGTAGTTGTTCTATCATGACTACACTAGAAAGCATAATAAAAGAGCCAATGCTTATACCTGTATGTAGAAGTTAAAGTTATACCTACTTGTAAGTAATACTTTTGGATTTAAAATAAGTGAGAAGTTCTGAATACATTCCAGATGAGGACAGAAAAATAAAGGATAACATTTCAGGGTGGAGGATAGACTGAAAACTAGCGCTCAGGTAAGACAGAGCAGACTTATTTGCATATGTAAAGCGAAATGCAGAACTAATCTTAACATA